CTGCAAGAGAGGTGGCTCATGCTGCACCACAGTCTAAGTCCCTTGGATATTACCTGGGATTCAGTCCAGAAGCAGCTTGGAAAACTCCACAGCTGGGTGTCTCATTCAGTCAGGTCCCATGAGCAGGTGAGCAAGGCAACTCAATCCCTTGAAGTCCTCTATATTGATCCCCATCCCTGTGGACAATTCTAGCCCTCTCCCCTAGCACCAAGTGTTGAAAAATCATGAAAGATGGGAAAGGCGATTGGGGAGCAAGGAGACTTGCAATGGTAGGGGATTTCTGTCATGGATGTGGTTTCTCTGTTTCCACTTGTTCATGCACTTCCCCATTCCTAAGCTTCTGTTGTTTCTGGTGTATTGGTGTGATGACAGTTGGCTTGCCTGTGAATGAGTGAAAGTTGTGCTTTTCTAATACAGGTACTGTATATAAATTAAGTTTTTTGTGCTATCAAGAAAATGTATTGCTATCACTGCTTCACTTTCATACAACGCATACCTAAAATAATAAAGATAAATACATGAGTGGGAACAATTAGGAATTAGTAAGCAGTTAGGTACATCAATCCACACTTCAATCACTTCCTTACATATTATGAATCATCCCCACTCCCATGTTTAAGTGGTCATGTCATTCATAACTACATAGCATGGCACTCAAGCCCCCTGTCCAAGCACTGAACCCCTATCCCAAATCAATGAGTCCCCACCCCAGCATCAAGTGTATTCATAAAAGTGCTATTCCCACTCTTCCATTGGGCCATGCAGGTCTATAATGTGGAAGCACAAAGTATAGACTTGCATATACTGGGAACATCCAGCTCCAACAGTGGCAGATGCACTGTCTCAGGGGCGGATATAGGGCAGGGCAAGCGGGGTGGCCGCCCCAGGCCCCGCGCTTCAAGCAGCCCCGCGCATGCGCCGTGTCAAAGGGGGGGCCCCATGAAATTGTGCTGCCCTGGGCCCCGCAAAATCGTCATCTGCCCCTGCACTGTCTGACTGAGTGTACCAATTCAGTGGCCCCTCGCTGCCATAGCTCCATTCAGGGAGAAATGGTTCACCTCTGGCTTCTCAAAGATTATAAAGACAATACAAGAGGCTTTTAGCTTCTCTATACTGTGTAAAAAAATCAGCAGCACCAAGAATAGCATGCAGCTAAAGGCATGCAAAAGGGGCAGAAAACATTGCAAAATTCACCTCCCCCAATTGTCGAAACAAAAGTGATGACAGAATCATAGTGTTTAAATCTAGATAAAAATGTACTTAAAGATCTAAAGCTTTTGATAAGTAACAAATAGTAAAAGTTTTGAGTAGGTATGGGTAGACATCTAAAATGGCAATGGCAATGATTTTACATTAAAAAAATCAAAATGGAGGATTTGGACTTAACTGACAAAAAGCAGATGGGAGACCGGGGTGAAATAAATTTCATCAGGGTAAGGATGAGTTCATGCCAAAATACCTGAAGGGAGGAGACACACGGAGGATCTCAGGTAGGTTCAGCTCAGATAACACATAATGCTGATTAACTAAGCGGGTGTCACCCCATTAGAAGGATCTATTCTAATACCTGGTACTGAGAAAGCAGCCAATCAGTCAAGGCCAGAAATTGTACAAAAGGCAAAGAGCTGGCAGACTTGGGTATGGAGCAGTAGAAGCACAAAACAGCAGAGAATGCAGCAGCAGCAGAAGAACCAGAACCAGTCAAAGGGGCTGCGTCTAGACTGGCATGATTTTGCGCAAATACTTTTAACAGAAAAGTTTTTCCGTTAAAAGTATTTGCGCAAGAGAGCGTCTATCCTGGCAAGTGCCTTTGCGCAAAAGATTTGCTTTTGCGCAAAAGCGTCCGTGCCAGTGTAGACGCTCTCTTGCGCAAGAAAGCTCCAATGGCCATTTTAGCCATTAGGCTTCCTTGCGCAAGAAATTAACGTTGCTGTCTACACTGGCCCTCTTGCGCAAGAATACTTGCGCAAGAGGGCTTATCCCTGAGCGGGAGCGTCAGAGTATTTGCGCAAGAACCACTGATTTTGTACATTACAAAGTCAGTGTTCTTGCGCAAATACTCGCAGTTGCTTTTGCACAAAATCATGCCAGTCTAGATGCAGCCAGGCAGAGCACTGCCCAGACTACGGTGGGCCTCCTGCTTCACCCTCAGCAATGCCTAGAGCATACCAGATGGCACTCTGGTGGTGATTTAAAGGGCCTGGGAGTTCAAGCACTGCCACTGCTGCAGTAGCAGAAATAGCAGCTGAAATCCCGGGCCCTTTTGAAGCACCAGGCCCTGGGGCAGTTAACCCCTTTGCCCCTCCTCCCCGCGCCCATCAGCAGACCTGCTGCTGTGTGGATGCTGGAGTCCCAGATTCAAGCCCAAGTTAGAAATTTCTTATCCCGAGGTTAACAATTAATGTCAACACTCAAGCCCTGGGTTCTCTAACCCAGGATCAGCTGATTTAGGTCCTTCTAACTCTGGGCTTACATTGCAGGGTAGATATACCCTAATGCACATTGCTAATGGTAGGAGTCCTTGACATTGGATGTTGCTTCTGTTCTGGTTTGCCAGAACATTATCTTGATTTCTTTCAGGGTACAGTGCCATCATTGCTTTGCTGGGAAGAGGGCTTGAAAGGGATTATTCTGACTTGGATGGTAGGGAGGAATTTCATGTGTTTCATGATGACAAAGATATGAGGAGCATCCTTGCTAACGTTGCATATATCCTTCAAAGGCTAGCCAACATATTGCAATCAGGGTATGTCTACACTGCCACCCTAGTTTGTGGAACGAGGTGTACCGGTAGTTTGAATTAGAGAGCCTAATTCAAACTACCTACTTCGTGCCGCGTGTAGCCGTGGGCACGGAGTCCGCACTAACGGGCATTTAAAAATGGCGGCGCCCGGCAAGATGCAAGTGAAGCCCGGGATATTTAAATCCCAGGCTTCATTTGCAACTTCAAATGCCTACATTAGCCACCCTAGTTCGAACTAGGGTGGCAGTGTAGACATACCCTCACTCTGTTGCTCTGGGCCTGGGCAGATCGCTTGAGCGAAGGAACCTTTTTAGGCTCAGAGCTGCTGATCCACAGAAAAATCAGTTGGGGGTCATGAGAAGAAAAAAAAGAGAAGAAAAAAACACAACTCCCCTCCCCCCAAAACAAAGCAACAACGAAAAATATGACTCCTGATTAAGGAGAAAAATACTCCCCACATTACCCTTGCACACTAGAACCTAGGGAGACCCAGGCTATTAGATTTTGTGTGCTCCATCTCCGCGGTGGGCTCACCTGAGCCTCAGGGGCCAGATCCAGGCAAGACGGGGGAAGTTCCATACCATTGGCTTGAGTATAGGCGGGATTGTTATTTTAACTGTATTTATGGCACTTTTCATGTATGTGAGAATTCAAATATTTTTCTAACTGCCTGAAGATTTTTGATAGTTGCAATAAATCATATGGAAGAAATACGTATAACCACCTAGTAGAAATCCTGAAAGCCAGATTTAAGAACATAAGAATGGCCATACTGGGTCAGACTAATGGTCTATGTAGCCCAGTATCCTGTGTTCTGATTGTGGCCAATGCAGGGTGCTTCAGAGGGAATGAACAGAACAGGTAATCATTGAGTGATCCTTTGTCATCCATTCCCAGCTTTTGGCAGTCAGAGGGACACCCAGGACATAGAACGCATCCCAGACCATCTTGGCTAATAGCCATTGGTGGACTTATCCTACAGGAACTTATCTAACTTTTTTTGGAACATGTTGTGGTTTTGGCCTCCACAACATGCCTTGGCAACAAGTTCCATGGGTTGACTGTGCATTATGTGAATAAAGTTTCATTCAGGTATGACATATATCATACAAAAAGATGCTAACTCTTCCACCTTGACACTCCACTTTATAGTCATTACCTCCACCGAAATCACACCCAATGCTGTGTGATCCAACTTGACTGCAAAGACTCCCATGAGCCTTACAATTAGGGTTGCAAACTTTCTGAAAGCAGAAAAACAAGCACTCTTGACCCACTTTTTGCCACACCTCCTCTCTGAGGCCCACCCTGCTCAAGCCATTCCCTCCCCCCATCATTTACTCTCCCCCACCTCACTCATTTTCACTGAACTAGGATGGGGGGTTGTAGTGTGGAAGGGAGGGCATTAGCTGAGGGTGTGGGTTCTGGGGCTGGGCCAGAAATTAGGGGTTCAGGATGCAAGAGTGAACTCCAGACTGGGACAGAGTGTTCAGACATGGGAAGGGGTTCAGAGTGTGGGCTCCAAGGGGTGCTTCCCTCAGACAGCTCTTGAGAAATGGTAGGCATGTCCCAATGGCTCCTCTGTTCACAAGTTCCCAGGAGTTTCTGTATGCTGCCCCCATCTGCAGGGGCTAGCCTCTTAGTTCCCATTAGATGTGGTTACCAGCCAATGGGAGTTGCAGAGGCAACATTCAGGGCAGCAGGTGGGACATAGTAGAGCTGCATGTGGAGTCCCCCTGCATCTCTGAACTGGCAGGATATGCCAGCTACTTCAGGTAGAGCCAGCTGCTACAATCAAACTTTTAGCAGATAGGTCAGCTGACTGGAGCCTCCAAGGTCCCTTTTCCACTGGGTATTCTGGGTCAAAACCTGATGCCTGGCAACCCTACCTATCAATGGGAAAGGAGGAAAAGTGATTGAGGAGCCTGCGGCCTTCCCTTCCTCTATAAATGCAGAGACTGTGAACTCAATCTTAAGGCTACTGAAGTTCCTGGCACTATCCATAAAATAATATAGGGCAGTGGGCCCCAGGAGCTGATCTGGGCCTATTCCCCCTGCTCCTGTAGCTTTTCACTACAATTGCGGGCGGGCCCAAGAAGATATTTTATAGCAGAGTCCTGCTTGTTGTGCCCCCCTCCCGGTGCACTATGGGAGTTGTAGTTTTCTTATCCCTGTCCGTGTTCGCTCTGAGCGAGTGCGGCGGCAGCGGAAGTACTACAAGTCCCGGGATTCCCTGAGCGGATGAGGGGCGTGGGAGGCGCATCCGCTTGTGCCGGGCGGCGGCTGGGTAGCAGCGCGTAGCTGGGGCGTCAGCTGTTTGCTGGAGCATAAGAGGGCGAGAGGGGCGGGGTTGGCTCGCGACGTTTCCGCGGTGGGTGCGCGCGTGCCCGGCTGCCTGGGGAGGGGGACCCGGCGCGGGCGGGCAGGGAAATGGCCGAGACCATCGCGGACACCCGGCGGCTCATGAGCAAACCACAGAGCCTGAACGACGCCTACGGGCCGCCCAGCAACTTCCTCGAGATCGACGTGAGCAACCCGCAGACCGTGGGGGTCGGCCGAGGCCGCTTCACCACCTACGAGATCAGGGTCAAGGTGAGGGGCGCAGCGAACGTGAAACC